GAGAGAGAGAGAGAGAGAGAGAGAGAGAGAGAGAGAATTTTCTAGCTCTTTGGCCTTTTCTTTCTACAGCTATATCCAGGGAAGAAAGACAGATCTCTGAGGTGGACCAGGAGGATAAAGTGATTTGTATGAAGATAGCTCACACATTAATTGCCCACTGGAGACTGAACTCAGAAGTGATAGTCTCTTCCATTGCCCCACAACTCCAGGCAGCATTGTGACAAGGTGTGAGGGAGCATTTAGAACCGTCCTCGACTATAAACAAAGACTTTGTTCCTGATTTTGATTTTAAATTTCTAAGACAGCACATCTTCCACTCTACTTTGTATTGGTGCTTCCGATTTTTGCTAAGCACAGGATAAATCAGAGCAACACTAAATTAAGCAAGGAGAAAGAAATTAATAACCTAAAAGAAAGAAAAGGGGGGGGGAGTTATAGAGGAATCCATTATCAAATCACCCAGAAGCAACTCGTGTCCATCAGATTTGGGTAAGCTCCTTGGGAAAAGTGGATTTTATTTACTTTCTAATCAATACCCAGAAGCAATTGTCAGAGAGTTGAATCACTCCAACTGCCAGTGAAGAAGGCAGATGTCAGAGCAGAAACGCCTCCCGAAGCCGCATCTGTGAGCATGTTGCCCGTCACATTACCCAAATCAGCTTGGCATGTGTTAAAACAGCCCTGCAAGCGCCAGGCACCTTTGCAGTACGAGCGGTCGCCTGGGACCCGCACAGAGCTTGCAGCCTTCTCTGACTCGCGTGTAAGCTCAGAGACGCCAGGAGGAAGCCGGAGCATGCCCTGCGCCCTAGTGCATGCGCCTATGCAAATCACCAGCTGTCTGGCCGAGCGGGCAATTACATTGCTGTGAGTCCAAGACTGCCTCATCCTTCTTGGAGGCCAACCCGAGTGTCTCGCAACGGAAAAAAAGAAACCTTATTCCAGATTGAAGACTGAGTGATTTGGGTTTTTTTTGTTTTTTTTTTTTTTTTTTTTTTTTTTTTTTTGCTCTAGGGAACTTCATTAGGGGTGTTCTTGAAACGTAAACTTGATCTTGCCTCCCTGGCCGCCCCTGGGCTGCACCATTTACACAATGACTACGTGTCTAGGTACTTTCAGCCCCGAGTTTATTGCCAAAAGGACTCTCACTTAACCTTCCTTCTTGTCTCTCTCGCCACATAACCTCTTCTTCTCTCCCCCAGCCCCCCCGCCCCCCAGCCCCTCAACAACCTTAATGGCAGATTTCTGACATCTTAGAACAATAGAGGGCTGTAGCTCTCTATTCTGCCACTAGAGGGAGCACAAAGAATTCATCTTTCACTAGAACAATATGCCCAATGTAATTGTCCCCTTCTTGAGCAGCGAATCCACCTAGTAGCTGCTCCGCACACAATCAGTCACGGTTTAATGCAAAGGTGGAGATTGCAGCTTTACTTGAAGATGCGTTAACTTGCATCTTAATTTCTTAGCACCTGGACGGGGGGTGGGGTGGGGGTGGGGCTCTCCCATAGAAGCAGCCAACATCTGCCTGGGAAGAGCTCAATACAAAGTAGGGATGGGGAGGTGAGGAGGCAAGGCATATATTTATGACTTCCCAGATCCAGCGTCCCCCCACCCTAGGATGTTAATGCGACAGCCCCAGCACTCTCCTTCCCGAACAGTAATTACCAGCGGTAGAAGGATTACAGGAGCGTTGTCCAGTGCAAGGGAATTGTCTGGGGCGTTCAGAAACAAAACAAAACAAAACAAAACAAACTCCTGGGAAAGGCATATGGCCCCAATGTAAGATCCAAAGGCAGCCTCTGATGCTTTGGAAGAGACTGCTTTGCTCAAGCAGCCCTCACAGAGCACTTGCAATACTTTTCCTCCCGATTGTGCAAAGTGAAGTTTGCTTGTGGGGGGATGGGGGACGGAGGGGCAGGCTTCCCCTTCTAAAAAAGAAAGCCCCTTTGGTGCCTCTTTATTGAGGTAGACTGGGCAGCTCAGTTCAGCTTAATTGCATTGTCTGAATGAGGGACTTCAAGTGCAAGGGGTTTAGAATGTGACCAGCGCCGAATTGTTACAGTCAAAGGTCTCCCGGCAGAACAGACCATTGTGCTGAGTGGAGGGAGAGTTGACCCAAGCTAGCCCCGCGGCGTTCTGCCTGGGGCGCTGACCAAAACAGGAGCAGGAAAGGCCGTAAGAGTGGGGAAGGAAGGCAAAAAACCTATCAAATTCGTGGGGAGTGCGGGGTATAGAGAGGAAAAGGGGTATGATCCTTTCAGGCCAGGGGCTCTCCGTCAATGCAGGCGCAGAGACAGCGACCTGGGGAGAGGAGGGAAAAGCAGAAAAGGAGAGAAGGATAAAGAGGAGGAAGAACGAAAGCAGAACCAGAAACCAAGGCAAGAGAGAGAGACAAGGGTAAAAAAAAGCTGCTGTAGCACTCTGCGGCACTGCCGTTGCTCAGCCCAGTGTATGCCAGGCTTACCTGCCAGGCGTAAGGCGGACATCCGCTGGAACTCCGGTTCCTGCAGCCATTTCCACATCCTCCTGAAGGTCTCCCTGCCAGATTTCAGTTTACTCCAAGGTTTGGGGTTCCTAAGCAGGTCAGAAAGGGTCCCCTGAGAACGGCACAGCACCCGCTGGGCAAAGATCGCCTGGGGGATGCTGTAGCGCTTCAGCTCAGCCGTGATCCTCTGGGCCACTTCTTTGGTGTTGATCTCTTCCAGCTGTCCCGAGTTGGTCACCTGCGAGCCGGAGGAGGACGGCGGCCTCTCCCGGCTCGGAGCCAGCACCGGCCCGTGGGACTGCGAGTGGCCGGGGTGATGCATCCCATTGAGGTGCGACATCATGGCAGCGGGCGGGGTGCCCAGCCCCCGGGAGAGGTGCTGATCCCCTCGGGCTAGCATGGCAGTGTGGTGGGCTTCGAAGTTGGGACTGAGCATCTTGTCGTGCCCCGGGGGCCCATAGTTGTGTAGGCCCTGCTGGGAGTTGTGGATGGTGCCCAGCCCGTTTCCTAAAGGGGTGGCTGCTAGAGGAGACAGGCTCTGCCCCATGCCGGACATTTCCTTGTAGGGACTGTAGAGGTTGTTCATGGCTGGTAGCCCCCGCTCGTCCCGCATGAGGGTGAAGCTCCCGCTGACATTGCCGGACAGGCGCTGGTGGTGGTGGTGATGGTGGTGCGGGTGGTGGTGCGGGTGGTGGTGGGGATGTGGATGGTGGAACTTGTCGGAGACCGTCGAGATGGGCGGCAGGGGCTGGAGTGGCGTCAACGTGGTGTAGGTGTTGCTCATGCCCATGCCCGGAGGGGACGAGTCGCAGGACATGCTCATGGCGTGGTGCAGCGGGATGGACAGCTCCGGACGGTAGTCACCCCCGTCCAGGATGGAAGCCATGCTGGTCACCATGGCTGAGCGGGAGGACGCGGTGCCCAGGTCCTGGTGAGGAGGCTGGACCCGCAGCGAGCCTGCGCCCCGGCTAGTGTGATGTGGGCTGGGGCTGGCCAGCAGCTCCTGCTCATGGGCCGGGCCCCCGCCGCCGCCGCCGCCGCCGCTGCTGCCGCCGGCTGCCCCGTGCAAACTGCCGATACTTTCCATTGTCATCTCTGGGTTCATGGCGCAGCCTTCTAGATCTTTGGTGAGGCATCGATAGGCGGTACAAGCAGCCTTCATTCAGTCCATCGGGGCCCGGGGGCGGCGGGGGTGGGGGAGAGGGTTGGGTTGGAGGGGGCAGGGTTGGGAGGTGGTGAGGGAGAGTTTGCAAGATGCTTGTTTAGGGGGAGGGGTCCAGGGTTGGGGGGGCTTGGTGTTGAGGTGGTGAATAAGGCCTCTCGGTTGTGTGTGTGTGTTTGTGTGTGTATGTGTATGTGGCGTGTCTGTGTGTGTGCGCGCGCAAGCGTGTGTGTGCGTGTGTGTGTAAGGGAATGGGGGTGGGGTAGGGGAGGATGGGGTGTGAGTCTGGGGAAAGGGAGGGGAGGGGGGATGGGGAGGGAGGGAATCACCGGTCTCTATCAGACGGGCCAGTGCAGTTCCTCGCCATGTCCTAGCCCTTTCCTCCTCTTACGTCTTCTGTTTGGGTAAGCTGGAGCTGTCCAGAAGGGGTTTGCTACTCTAACAACCTACCCTCCCTCAGGCAGGGCTGGACTTCTGCAAGATGGACGTTGCTACCAACCAGCTGAGAGCTGTAGAATTTTAAACGAGCCGGCTGTCTAGATACAAGCTCCAATGAGAAAGGGAAGAGGCGGGACTGAAGGTTTCATGTTTGGCTGAGGTTTCGGTGCTTTTTTTTTTCTTCTTTGCTACTGGAATCAAACGTCAAGGAGGGAGGGGAAACATAGGAGAGACTAGAGAGAGAGAGAGACAGAGAGAGAGACAGAGAGAGAGAGACAGAGAGAATATTAAAGATGCAAAGTCTTTTCCTTTGCATTTGCTAAATTGTAATCTGGGGAAAACACATTTCTGGAGTTCCTTTCCTAAGAGACTGAGGTCTTTCCCTGAAACTAAAAAGCCAGAAGGATATTCTGGTTAGGCTAGTATAAAAACAAGCGTACACACAAATCCTAACAAGCATCTTTTAGCATTGTCAGAAGCAAAGGGGAAGAATCCTATCCCTTTTAAGACCCAGGCAGTCATGTATTTAAATTCACTTTAAATTACAGGGAAAAGGCATGCATAATCCATACTGCTTTAGATAAACTCCTTCGCCTAGGCTTCTAGCTATCTTAAAGTGACGGATTGAAATCCGTAGGCAACAAGGCACCGTGAGGCATACTGCATGCAAAGTTAACCTAATAAAATTCATTAAACTTTGGGGCATGCTCATAAATCTCTTGCTTGTGAGTCTAAGGACCACTGCAAGGGTGCAAACAAAAAGTAGAACTGAGAGAGCCTCATCCCAACAATTTTAAGGTGGTTAGAGCTTTCCCTTAAGTGACTTGCCCTCTCCAGCTGGGAGAAAAGGATGAAGGGGAAAGGGCCAGGGGAAGGGAAGCTGACTCTGGGGTGGGGGGAGTTGGGGATATTGTTGCTACAGCTAATTAGTAACAAACTTTCTATTGAGAGACATAGTATGGAAATCACTCAGACGCTACAGGCTGATTTTACTCCTAAACACAGACCTCCCCGCTCCCCATACACTATGCTACACTCACTCACGCACACACACACACACACACACACACACACACTCACACACACATACACACAACTCACACGTCATATTACTGAGTCTTAGAAACTCGAGCAGCGTTGGTGATTTCTAACTCGATTTTTAGAAAAGAACCACGATTCTGAAATCCAGAAGTGAGTCTGGAAAGCACACCTTAAAAAAAAATGATCCCATCAATCACTAGAACGGCAATGCAGCTGAAAAGAAAACGGGTCTGTATCAAGAAAAGGCAGCGCAACCACTAGCCCATTTTGAAATGCCTAAAAGTAAGAGATCCTTCTTTCCCTGCTTTCTTCCTTCCTTCCCCGGCAGTTGTGTTCTGTGACTCTGAAGATTCAAGCTCGCTGAGGTTGCGCAGATGTTGCCTTTGTTTAAAGAGACAGTAATTAAGGACAGGGTGGACGTAAGTTTGAGAAGCGTGACCTATTTTCTTTTGATCAGCTGTCAGAAGAAGAGCAGGGGGTCTCCTTAAGACAGCCCCCTCCAACCACTTCCAGCTGTTAGAGAAAACTTGATAAGAAAACAAGGACACTGCCCGAAATACTGTATGTGCCCTCTTTGACGGCAGAGAAAGGTTTAATTCATTTAGAAAACACGTCTTACTCTCATTGACCTTTTTGTCTGCCCTGCTCTTTCTTCTATCTGCAAAGGGGGGATCATACATGTCATCCTGTCACATGAGTGTACAGTAAAGTTATTCATAGACCAACTTTATTGAGTTCTGGCCAATAAGCTGCCAATTACACTTTCAAATGGACCCTTTTTCTGAGGCACCAAGTCTCTACATAAGAGACAGGCCCAGACTCTATATCTAGAGACCTGTGTTTCTAGCTCTATTTTTGGTGTTACATACACTCGACAGGTAAATAACCGAGATCTCCAATTTAATTCTCCACTCTTACACCTCTCGTCTAGTTCCCTACTAACACCTTCTAACACCTGCTACTCCCGGCCCTTCTTTTTGCAAGCTCATTTGATTTGACAAATTTTAAACGGCTCACTTTTGAGGCACCCATGTTAAAAATCAAAAGTTTAAGGAAACACAACCACTGTGTGATAGGGGGATGTTCACTGTTGCTGTGGTTGCTAATACTAGTAACGCTAAGCAACGGAGACTGAATGCTGCTGTGTGGTTCCATTCTGAAGCTGTGTCTCTTTTTAATTTTTGCCGCTAGCAGTCCGTGCTGAATTCAAGATTCTTGACTGTTTAAAAACACTAGGCTGGAGGCACCGTCTCCACACCGAATTTTAAACACATGCAAATACTCTCTCTTTCCATATATGTATGTATGTATATAATATTTAAAATAATCATACATCATAAACTAATTTCCCATAAAATCCAGATAAGTCTGCCCTTGTGAACTCTAGTTCCCTATGCCTGCAAGTAGTCACGTGCTACGAGCTATAGTTTAAAGGTGAGTTACATATTTTCTCTCTCTCTCTCCCTCTCCCTCTCTCCTTCTCTCTCCCTCTCTCCCTCCCTCCCTTTTCTTTCCCTCCCTCCTTTCTCCCTTCTTCCCTTTCTACTCCTCCCTTCATTCCTCCCTCCCTCCTTCCTTGACCCTGCTCCTCCCCCTCATCCCCCCCCCCCCCTTCCGCGATCAATATTGAAGATCTCAGGGAAATCAAGAAAACGTATTGGTTTCTTTGTGTATAATTTCTTTGGACTACAATAAAGCAGATTTTCGCATTGTATTTTTCTTGGTGGTTCAGTGTTTTGTTTTGCAACCCCTAAGCCACATTTAAATGTAAAATGAATATGCTGGCCTAGACGGTGTCTTAATTTCTTAATGAAACAATTCGAATCTCTCTCTCTCTCTCTCTCTCTCTCTCTCTCTCTCTCTCTCTCTGTCTCTCTCTCTCTCTCCCCCCCATCTTTTCCTCCCTTTCCCCTTTCTTCCTTCTCCTTAAACTACGAATTTCTATCTCTTTTGGGGTGAATGTGCCTGCCAATCCTAACAACCGCCTCTACTATTGTTATTTATTTTTCATAAGGTTAAATAAACAGAAAAAAGTGCTTACTGTTCTGAGCATTGGTAGCCTAGATAGTAGTCTTTAGAAGTAGAGAAGTTCTGTTATCTGCAGAATTGTGTCCTTTTAATTGCAGTAAATTCCTTCTCTTCGCCCCCTCCCCACCCTTAGAGAGCGTTTGATTCATTGATGAACTGCACAGAAACGTAGCATGTGAACAATGTGTTTCGTTCAATGTTAGGATTTGGCTAAGCAGTTGAGAAAAGCAGTAAGATGAAGACCTGGGAAATTCAGCGCTTACCACGTTGCTGTTGGAGTTTGATTCTATATTTCATCAGACAATAAAATGAGTCAAAAGAAGATAGTATGTATATATAATAAAGGGCATTAACCAAAAATGCCATTTTTCCGCTGTTTTTCAAATGGAAGAATTGAGACAACATTGGAAGGAAGTGATCTAAAACCTCAAAGTCTGAGCCTTTTACACCTCCTTTCACCCTGACATATTTTCTAGCTCCAAGAGGCATCTAGAGAAGAACGTTTAATTAAACCAGAAAGTCTATAAATTATTCAAGAAAAATAAACAGACTAACAAGTAATAACAGAGCTGACTAAGTAACCTACCCGCTTTGTTTTTATTCAACAACAGAAATTCGAGGCAGAGCTAGGAACTGCTGGATCCTCACCTCCTCCCTCCCCCTTCGCCCCCCAATCGCTGAAAATACCTGCAATTTTTGTCTTTGGCAGGACCTATCTCAGAACACGTTTCTGCTCCAGCTAGGTTGAGCTGAGAAGCACAAAAAGACATAATCGTGGGTTGATTTGAACTATTTGATTTTTGTCCTTTCCCAAACCATCTGGCGTGTGAGTGTAGGGATATTGATCAGGATCTGTGTGCTGCAGACCCCATGCTAATCTATAGCGTTTCTGACAATCAGCTTCGCCTATGAATTGCATCTGTCTGTGCAGCTACCAAACAGAAATCTTCAAAAAAAAAAAAAGTCCCCCCCCAACATATCAGCAATTCGGGGGTAAGTCAATAGCCTTCCTTTGAAATTCTGCGGGCTAGGATTTACAGGAGAAAGTTTTTGTTGTCTGTTGTTTGTTATTGCCGCCGCTGCTGCCTTTTTTTTTTCTTTTTAAAGGAATGAGAGCAATTTTCCAGTCATTGAATGGTAATGGTTTTTCAGAAAGGCCTCCAGCACTTAGACGAATCTGACAACAAATGAACCTTCAATATTGAAGCGGAATTTTAAGGAAAGGGGAGATCCTTATGCTAGGGGAGAAATAGACGTTTTCTTTCAGGCATTGAGCTTTTTCACCCTCTCTATCGAGTCCACCAGGTTGAGACTATGACTCAATAATTTTATAAGTCTATAGGCAGTAGGTGCTTGTAGGGAGGAGGGGCACAGGCACTTCCAATGATCTCTCCTTTTTGGGAAGTTGCACTCTCTGTAGCCTTGGTTGGGTGAACACAGTGGGTAGAGGGAGAAAGTTGAAGAGGACTAAAGCACTCCAGTTTTCCTCCCAA